TACGCGTCGCAGCGGCAGGCGACGATATAGCCGATCCTGGAACCGTAGAAAATTCGCCCGGTGATCGGCCGCTGACTCCTTCGGCGATAAAGAAGATTTAGATCGATTTAAGATTCCAATTTCCGGGGCTTCTCATGGGAGCTGGGGGAGGTACTTGGAAAGACGAGGACGTCGACGAGGACGGAGATGTGCTGGTGGCATATCGTGATGAAAGGACGAAGAAGCACAAGAATGGTTCCCCGTAGATAGTAGCCCAGGTTTCGGTAGTGGCCTGGATTCAAAGTAGTCGGCTTCGGTCCGAATTACTAGGCTCCGTTTTCTACGTCTTCCTCCTTCTCATTCCCCTCGATTTTTTACCCCGGGATCTTATCGTTGCTCCTCTTTTAAATCTCTTCGTCCTAGATCCTGTGACTCGTATGTGTTTCCTTAAGGGGTTACATTATTCATGCTTGCTTAAAAATTAATTACAACGGATGGGCGTACGTTTAAGAGTGTACGTTTCCAAAGCAACATTGTTCAAACATGTGCAATTATTTTAAAACTCGTCGACCTATCGATTTCCGGGGGGAAAAAATTTCTTCAATTTTGTTAAACTTCCGGCACGGTGTAACCCCCCTGGTGATTATATTATTTCCGTAATCAAGTTAACTCTCGTTTGGCGGGGCAGCTACATGTTTATGCATAATCCTGTTGGACGGTTTTATAAAGGATTTTATTATTATTATTATGAAACACCAGTTAGTTAACCTTACTGCGGAATTTTATTTTACGGGATAATTTCAAAGCGCGGTTTTTATTGCTGTGGGATGTTTCGGTCGGATAGTTTCGTTCCTTACGTACTTTTTTTCCTTCGGTTTGCCCCCCCTCCAGATTCCATTTCACGTTGTATCATTTATTCATACTTGCCACTTACCGACCTTTTAAACTTCTTTCGTCTTACCTAGGGGCAGCAGGTGTCCCAAGTGCACTCGTAGCTACATTTCACGTTATTTACCAAAAGGAAGACATATTTATACTCGTGCTCAGATTATGTTCGTATCGTTTCCTCCGGGCTGTCTACTTAGGCAGATTAAATAGTAGGTACACAGGATTTAGCAGCGAGAGTACGGTCAGGTTGAACTCAACCAGTCGACTCCGGTCAGTCTTAACCGTTTCCTCGTTTTTATTCCCTCCCCTTAACCCTGTCGTTTTCTTTTTCCTCGTCTCTTGTTTACTCTCTCTCGACCCTCGTTCCCGCGGTGTTTCCTCCTTTCTACTTTCCACCCTGTCCACCTCCTTTGTCTAACTACCTCTCTTAAGTGCTATCTGAAAATTCCGCCTCGTCGTTATTACTGCTTATTTGAATTTCACTTTGCCGTTTGCCTCCACGCGCCCTATATACATTTAATGTATTCAGCACTGGCCAGCGGATCTCAATCTTCTTTTTACAGACGTTCCAACGAATAGCTTCAGTTTTCCAAATCGCCAGGGTCACGTCAGAAGTTAAATGATTCGCTTTATTTAATTTTGCTTTCCCTCCATCGTTTTTTGTTTTTATTCGGAGTTTTCATTTGTTTATCGTAGCAGCTCGACCACGGTTTTCTTTGATCAATCGTCGTTAACATTCCTCTTCGTTTAATGCCCCGACGCTTGTTATTCCCTACACGCGACACGGGAAAAAATTTCCCCGCGTGTCCATTCGTCTGCTCTTATCGTTTCATCTTTTTCCACCACCCCCCTCCGTTTCACTGTCGCAACTTTTAATTCCATCCACGGCCTGTATCGTTCGCTTTAAACTTCGCCTCGCGACTGTGCGTTTCCCGTGTCGGCCCCGACCTCGCGGCTCCCGTTTCTTTTTCCCTTCGTTTAATCTCCGTACAAATGCGAGCAGATTAAACGAAAAATATTTCGCGTTTTAATCCAGCTGTTTAAACTGCGCGCGGCCGTCTATCGCTTTAACCTTTACGCCCGGTTTTCCCCCGCGAGTCGCTCATCGACTTCCTTTCCCCGAAACATCCTCAAAATACGGACTTTGCTGGCCAAGCAACCCCTCGAATCAACCCTCTTGCGTTCACGCACCCCCTTCTTGATCACTCAACGGTAATTGTCGGGGATTTTTTAACGCGTTAATGAAAATATACAAGCGAGAGAGGGTTTTAACAAAAATTAAAAAATGGTCTGGATTAGGTCTGGGTTAGGTTTGGGTCAGGTCTGGGTCAGGTCTGGAAGAAAATTTAGATTTTCAGAAAGGAATTTTTTTCTCAAAAATGTTTAGGATTTCGAGGGTATGTGTAATGATAAAAAATGATTGTAATTGACCCCTGTAACTAAATATAATTTTTTTAGTGCGATTTTCAATATTTTAATTTCATCTAAAAAGTTCAGTACCTACGCGAATTTTTTTCTCGAAAGTGGGCAGGATTTCGATGGTATGTCTATCCACCAAAAATGCTTCTAATTGATCCCTGTAACTAAATATAATTTTTTTAGAAGGTTTTGAAATTTTTTAATTTCATCGAAAATTTCACACCTTCTCGAATTTTTTTCTCGAAACTGTGTAGGATTTCGCGGGTATGTCTATCCACCAAAAATGCTTGTAATTGATCCCTGTAACTAAATATAATTTTTTTAAAACGATTTGAAATTGTTTAATTTTGTCGAAAATTTCACACCTTCTCGAATTTTTTTCTAGAAAATGGGTAGGAATTCGTCAGTATGCCTATCCACCAAAAATGCTTCTAATTGAAGCTTGTAACTAAATATAATTTTTTTAGAAGGATTTGAAATTTTTTAATTTCGTCGAAAATTTCACACCTTCTCGAATTTTTTTCTCAAAACTGTGTACGAATTCGGGAGTATGCCTATTGACCAAAAATGATTGCAATTGACCCCTGCAACTAAAAATAATTTTTCTAGAACGATTTGAAATTTTTTAATTTAATTGTTAATAACTTTTTAACGAGGCCTTTTAACATAGGGTTAAACCCAAAAATAATTGTTTAAATGCTTTTGCAATAGAATTAGACCCTTTATAATGTTTTGCAAATTCTTTTTGAGGCAGATCTTTCTCCCAATGCGAAGAATAATAACAAAATAACAACGAAATAAAATTGGTACATTTTTCAGGATGCGTTCGGTCTCTCTATTTACGCAGACCGCCTCATCCTCGGACCTTTTCTCTCCGTTTTTTCTCCCCTTCGTCCTTATCGTGTTCGTCCGCCCTCGGCATTGACACGTCCCATCGTAAGGAACGTCGTAATTGGTCCTTTGGTCGCGACCGTTGCGCAGAGGGTTGAACGGGGAACGATGAAAGGGTGAGAGTCGAGGCTGGAAAGAAACTGCACAGGGTGGCGGGTATAAAACGAGGGAAAGGAAATTGAGAATGAATCGCTGAAGAAGAAACTGTGTAAATTAAAGAATAAAGGGGGCAATGAATGGTAAAAGGAATCGAGGCGTCGCGGAGTTTCTATGTTTTCGACTATCAATAATTAAAGTACCTGAAGAAACTCGATACTGCGTCCGTAAACGAAGAGATCGGGATGAAATAAAGAGGCGGTGGCGGAACGTTACCCTAGATCAGCTAGGGTTCCTTTGGCTCCCTTGGGAGGTCACGGTGAACTCTGGTCGGGGTGAGATATGCAGAAATTAAATATTCATTTGGGCTACCGACCCTCCCGGTCCATTCTCTTGGATGTGTCGCGCTGGTTCTCTCTTCCTCCCTCGAAAATAATGCCTTGGCCCGAGGCCAGTTTCGTTGAAGGCTCTCGATGTTCCCGATCCCCTTGCTCTTATTTCGTTGCAGCCTGGCTGGGGGGAGAAAAAAAGATGGCGGACGGTGGTCGGGAGCGTGCGCTCGAGGAGTCCCTTTTCGCTAATTCTCGCAACTTTCTTCTCGAACTCGGACTCGAAGGTTTCTCTGTCCCTCCCGATTCTCGTATCGCGTTTCGTGGAAACGTACCTGTTGAACCGTACGACGACGGTTCGATGAAATAATGACGAGTAGTTTATGCACCATTCACCGCGTTACCGGTTGGGAGGAGTAACCTTCGCTGGCTGGCGTGCAGTTCCGTTTCTCTTTGCCGTCTCTGCCTCGCGAGCAGAATGTACCTATCTACCAGCACGTTGTTGCTTCACATACATACGTACGTACGTTTCCTCCCGGCGGTTGATGAAGTGTTTCTCTCGGCGCGGAATTGCATCGCTTCCTTTTGCTGGAACACATCCACCCGGGGTGGTTAGACGCAGCAACGAGGGAACGCGGAGGATAAAAGGATTTGTTTTGGAGCTTTCCGGAGGACAGCCTCGGAAAGAGAAAGGGAGAGAGCCAAGGATGAAATTTGAATATCGTCGTTGTTGCCGCGCTAGAGTTCGCTGGAACGGAGGCGTCGTGATAGCGGTTTAGTTAAGGAACACTTTGTACCGTAATCGTTGTATAAATAGTCATTAGTCGCGGAGCTAAATATTCCTTCAAAGTAGGTTCGTAATTATTTTTCCCTAAGAAACGGACGAGCAGTTAATTATTTTCCGGAGGGGAACTTTTGTAAATTACGTATAAACGCGTGTTAGTTTCGTTGTTGCGTAAGATGGAAATAAAGTAGCTTCTGCTTTGATCGTCCATGCTGTTTAGAGGAAAGCTTGGATCGTAAGTTATTGTATTTCGCGCGAGAACAGCGAGGGGGATCAAATAAGGATAAAAGGGGGACTAGGACCGATCGTTCAATAACAAAGATCACGGAACACGGTTCCCTCACGATTTGAATAAAATAAGGCTCAGCGTCGCCTTTTGCTCTTTAGTGGATGCATTTCGGCGGATGAATATAAGAACAGCCGGAATACGAAAGGATAGAGAGATTTGTTTCATTGTTTCCGGTTAGGAGTAACATAAAATTTGAATATCACGGTTATTCGTTCCTTACCAACCGGTAAACGATAGGAATTGCGTTATTTATTCTCTTGACGTTGCGCAATATACGCCTTAAGGGCACGGGAGAAGCTAACGTTCCCTTTCCTTTTTGTTTCAGGTGGCCACATCCTACAGAATAAACACAGAGAGTCGAACCGAGGCAACAGGGATGAAAGGATTTCTTCGACTGTGCCGAGAAAGGGTAAGACGAGCTCAGAATGTTGTATCGTGCTTTCAAAGAGTCCTTTACAGCGTTTTATCGCATCTACCGAGGGATTCTGCGATTCCGCGAAACGCGGAAAATACAAAAATATCATAATCATTTCCCCCGACACTCTTCCACTCGGAACAGTCGCGTTCCCTTTAATATTTACATTAATTTACCATTCGCGAAAATACAGAAACCCATCGACTTAATGTTGTTCTGTTTGAAAGCATGGTACACCGAATTTTATACAGCACGACACGTTTACCGGGGTGGTTTACTCTGTATAAAATTCGAGTATCATTTTTCATTACAGGTTGAAACACATTTTCCAATTAGTTTCGTTTGCATCGATCGCGTGTTTCTATGCAGTACGATAAAATCACTGTTTCACCCTATTAAAACGTTTACTGGTCGATATAGAAACATGTCTTGTTTTGTTTTCTCTGTAACACGTGTAAAAAAAAGGTGGAATAGTTTTTGAAAGAATTCCAGGGAAAGTTGCCCGTAAATCTGTCGAATTAACGAGGTCGTTATTTAGAAAATTAGAGAAAGTTGTTACAAGTTCGGTTAAATATTGAATGGAATTATTCTATCGGGCAGAGGGTTGATTTAATTAGAAATTAAGGAACGCTGTCGTCGAAGTTGTATCTCCAGGAGCCGATCTAATTTACGTAGCAAGCCCGATCGGCAATAAAGGAAGACGCGACATTATGGCGGGTGCTCGGCTTTCCAATTAACTTAATTAACGTTACAGGACGTTAAAATTTTGACGAAAATAATGTTCCTATCGGCGAAGTGGCTCTTAATTAATTTCCACGATTGTTTTGTAGGTAATTGTATTTTCCACGTCGGGTTTAATTAACGAGCAGACCTCTTGCAGCTTCGCGAAGATCCGCCCCGGAAGAAATAGTAAAACGCTTTCTCGAAACTCGCCTCTACCCACTACTCGACGACGATCGCATTCATCTCATTGAAAGTATCGACGTAGCAGCGAGCCAATTAGCGCCCGGGCAATTTATTATCACGTGGACTTTAATTTGACGAACTGGTCGTTGACCGTCGTTTTTTTATTTGAGAATCGCTGGTCAGTTCAATTTCTATTTCGATGTTAAATACGATAAAGAGATGACGAGACGTCCTAATTTCGATCTTGACGAAACGCGCGAGAAAGTTCATTTCGCGTTTCCCAGCATATTGTTTCGGGGTCCCGACTTGAACGTGGGCCAATTTGCGGTATACAGGGTGTTCGGCCACCCCTGGGAAAAATTTTAATGGCGGATTCTAGAAGCCAAAATAAGACAAAAATCAAGAATACCAATTTGTTGATGGAAGCTTCGTTAAAAAGTTATTAACGTTTAAAGTGCCGCCCTTACTGAATTTTTTTTCTCGAAAATGCGCAAGATTTCGGGGGTATGTCTATTCACCAAAAATGACTGTAATTGAACCCTACAACCGAAAATAATTTTTCCACAACGATTTGCAATTTTTTAATTTTCACGAATAATTTCACACCTTCTCTATTTTTTTTCTCGAAAGTGGGCAGGATTTCGTGGGTATGTCTAATGACAAAAACTGATTGTAATTGACCCCCGCAACCGAAAATAATTTTTTTAGAATGATTTGAAATTTTTTTTTTCGCTGAAAAATTTAGGCACCTACGCCCTGTCGATTTTTGTTAAAAATTCGTTTTTCATTTTTAATAATTTTGTTTGACGCCCTACAAAAAAGTTGGCCAATACTTTTTTGTAGGTACCTATGTGCTTTACTTCAGAAAAAAGTTTCATTGAAATATATTCACTATTGTAGGAATTATGGCTGTTTGAAGATTGGACCATTTTTATGGGGTTATTCTCATTTTGCGGGGTCAAGGATCAACTTTTTGCATATTTTTCGAATTTTCACATATTCTTCATCAAAATACGCGTTGTTTGCATTTTGAAATATTAAAATCGTGCAATCCGTTCACAAGTTATGATGTTTCAAAGATTCACATGAAATTTTGAAGAACATTCAGAAAGATCACACATTAGATTTTTGGTAAGGAATTTTTTTCGGAATTTCTACGTATTCTTGATTAAAATACGCGTCGTTTGCATTTTTGAAAATTAAAATCCTTCAATCCGTTCAGAAGTTATGACATTTTAAAGATCCGCATGAAATTTTCGGACAACATTTCTGGCCATAAATTACATTTTCGATTAGGAATTTTTTTCTCGAAAGTGCGTAGGATTTCGTGGGTATATGTATTGACTAAAAATGATTGTAATTGGCCCCCGCAACCGAAAATAATTTTTCCAGAACGATTTGAAATTTTTGAATTTAATTGTTAATAACTTTTTAACGAAGCTTCCATCAACAAATTGGTATTCTTGATTTTCATCTTATTTTGGCCTCTAGAATACCCCATTCAAATTTTTCCCAGGGGTAGCCGAACACCCTGTATAACTGCACGTCAACCGCTAGTTTCGCGTTTACGAGGGAAATGAAGCACGTCGATTGGGCCACAATATGTATTTGCTAATTCAAATTCCGGTTAATTAACGGCTGATAATTCGGTCAACTGTATGAAATTTTAACGTACACCTGGAAGATGACCCCTTAACCCTTTTGGTAAGGTAAACAAGCTATCGAGGTGACCCTATTCAAGCATCGTTGATAATAATTTATCGTGAAATACAACGATAATAATTCTAGCGGGATCGTGTTACCGTCGTCGAAAAAAAAAGAAAAACGATACGGTCGTGTCGTGTACTACGTTTATAATACATCGTAAATCGTCGTACGTTGTCGGCGGGTGTATAATTAATTATCAATGCGAACCGTGGAAAATGAAATTTTCGATTCTGAGCGTCGTTATCGAATTAAATTAATTAGCGAACCGCAGCCCGGGATGGATGGCGAAAAAACGGAGGAATTTAAATCGAACCGCGTTGCTTGTCGGCGAGACGACAAAATTTATTATTAATTTATCCTGGGAACGGGGGAATCGCGAAAAATTAGGAGGTTCGTTTCTTTCTGAAATGAAGTTTTAGAAAAAGCTGTTTTAGAGACCAGGCTGACCTAAATCTTTGGCTTATGGAAGTCTGCGTACGATAATCCGACAATAATATCGCATTTATCGTTATTTAATATTCGTATTATAATAGTTGACGAATTTCGTGGTATCTTTATTGCGATATAATGCGCAGGTGGTCCTATTCTTCTAAATTTCTCATTAATTTTCATGCAGCGTTCCTCTAAAATTTTCTGTCGCAACGCTGGATGATGCACGGAGTGTCACACGCGAGTTCACTCTTCTCCGAGTTAGTTGAAAAAATGGAATTCTTTTTTTTTTAAGTGATATTTGTAGAACACGCGACACTGATTACGTCAGGACATTCTTCTTAACAAAAATTCCTCCAGCGCAACGAGAGACAATGTTTTACAACGAGATTTCGTATTCCGCTGGTTATTTATGAGCAGCGCCGCGTTCTGGGTACTGAATAATCATGCGAAACGTGATCAAGAAAAAACATCGATACGAGTAATAGTGCATTGTTATAGGTCGAGGCCCACATTCGAAAATAATTACTTTTTGCAATCTGCTCGGCTGTAAAAATAACAAAAATCGGTGCAAACAAGAAATAACAATCGGCAACGTGTATCGAAAGGGAATGGAAATTCGTGAAAATATAACGATCGAACAAGGACGAAACAATAAATGGCGCATCGTAAAAATCAAATTAATTTCGTTGGAATATCGCGCGGGAAAGTTTCGAGGTTCTCCTTTTTTCGCGAGATAATAATTGCCACTAAAATAAATATCCCGTTGCAAAGATAAAATTTCACATTATTATTTCGCGAATCGATCGTAGATCCAATTTCTCGCGACACAGTCAATTATCGTTCCTCTCGGGAAATATTGACTCGTGTGACTGAAAACACTGAACGTATCTTTCATATTCTGTTCCAAATTGAACGAGAATTGTCGAATTCATCGGCCCCGTCCGCCATAACAATGTTCTATCGCTCGCGATTGTATTTCATAATGTTTCCTTTCGTAAATTTGTAATTAAAACATTTACCAAACGCGACTTCCGATATTCTAAAACGTAGACGAAAGTTGATAATGCCCCCGATCCTAACAATTTCATAACTCCACACACGGCTGTTACATTCCTGGTTTTTTCCCGAACGACGCACAAAATTCCTGCGAAGCGGAATTAAACGCATTCCAGTATTTTCGCCCGATAAAAATAACGTTGTCGCTGATACATATTTCTCTCGAGAATAAAAAATGACACGCGATTCCAAGAGTCGGGAAAGCTACAGCGTGTTATTGTTTGTCCACAAAGTTGGAATGATTTTAAAATTTATTTTCCAGCGGAATTTTTAATACCGAAACGGTATGAAATCTCGTTGCAAATCAGTCTAGCCGGGATATTTAATAAATCAACAAATATTTAAAAGGACGATAATGAGAAGGGAGAATTTTATTCGCGTAGCGCAATCAAACATAAAGTACGACGTTGCAAAATGGTTTCCCTGGTTCCTCGCCGGAATTAAGATAAAACTTATTGCGAAGAAAAAGTAGGGTTTTAATTCCACTTGCAGTTCGCCGGAGTTGCGCGTTATTCCCGAATACCGATAAAGTCGAAATTATAGGTCCATAATGAAAAACTTTCTCCCTAAACCAGAACTTGTCGGCTATGGAACGAAAATGAGTTAAGTTCGTCTCGTTTTTTCCTTGTCTTTTTACTTGCGCGAGAAAACGCGAGGATTTATGATTTCGTTGATGCACAGGGAACGCGAAAATGTTTAGAAATTAGATTCAGTTTCTTTGTGAAATTGATAGGGGGGGAAGTTTACCGCGAAAGAAACTTTTCTCCCTAATCCTTCCCGGAAGAAATATCCAAAATTCCATCTCGAAAGTTGAACCTCGTTCCGAAACGCGGCGAAGCGTTTACCAACGATTTTCGGGCGTCTCGCGACGGTTTCGAGTTTCAACTTGAACC